TCAATTTTAGAAAGTTCTTTGACATCCATTTTCTAATTTCACTAATACAGTTCTCAAGTTGCAATTTTGATAAATTGAAAGAAAATGGACAATTAGGTGTAAATGAAATATATGATTGAGTATCATCGACATACAAATGAAAGCTGAGACCATATTTTCTGACAATATCGCCTAATGGTGACGTATAGAGGATAAATAAAACCGGACCAAGAACAGAACCTTTGGGAACCCCAGATGACAAAACAGATTCAGACGACGATTTGCAATTAACTAAAATACACTGTTTTCTACCCACAAGATAGCTTTCTAAACGATTTAATGCAGAGCCACAAATACCGAATTTAAATTGAAGTCTATGTAGAAGAATGGAAGGGTCCAACGTGTCGAAAGCAGCAGATAAATCTAATAAAATTAAAATGTACATTTTCTATTATCAATTTCCATTAAAATATCATTTGAAACCCGGGTTAAAGCTGTTTCGGTACTGTGATATTGTTTATAAGCACTTTGAAATGGTTCATACAAACAGTTATCATCTAGATGGGCCTTTATCTGAGAAGCAATACATTTCTCCAATATTTTAGAAATAAAACTTAAGTTAGAGACAGGCCTGTAATTTATAAAAACATTAGGATCCAGTGTAGACTTTTTAATTTAAGGGGTAACATAAGCCCGTTTGAAAACGTTGGGAATAGTAGCGGATGATATACAAGAATTAATAATATTGGTAAAAACTGGAATAACTTCGTCTAGACAGTCCTTAAGAACAGGAGTCGGAACAGGATCTAATGAACAAGATTTAGGAGCAGACGATTTAATTAGCTTTAAAACAAAAGATTCACTAACCAAGTTAAAATTTTCTAAATAAACATAATTTTCTAACTTATCAAAATCATGAGCGTTAAAGCCAATAGTTTTATTTAAATCGTCAAGTTCAGTTCGTATTTTCTGTATTTTTATTTGAAAGAAATCAGAGAATAAATTTGCTAGTTCAGTGTCATTATCATTGTCCGGGAGAATAGTACGCTCAGCATTATGGTCCAAAAAGGAATTCACAACTTTATACAGGTCTTTTTGTCTGTTTTCGCCATTTTCTATTTTATCAGAGTAAAATTTAATTTGAGCGTCTTCAATTAATTTATTCACATTGTTTTTTAAAGATTTATAAATCTGTTTATGGACATGTAGATTTGTTTTCCGCCACAGATGTTCAGCCTTATTACGGTCCCTTTTGGCTTCTAAAATAGAATCATTAAACCACTGCGTATTGGGACGAATAGTAAATGTTTTCGTTTGAAGAGGAACAAGCAAGTCCAAAAATTTCAGCAAGCTTTGAGTGATATTGGGTTGCCTTCTCTTGTATATCTTGAATACGTTGAATGCCATTGAAATTCGAGTTCAATATTTCGGCTTTAAATTTATTAATGCCAAGTGATTTAAACCTTCGATATCTGTATTACTAGAATAGATAACTTCACCTTGTCTCATACCTGTATTAATAGAATAAGTTATAACATCACCTTGTCTCATACCTGTATTACTAGAATAGATAACATCACCTTGTTTCATATCTGTGTTAATAGAATAAGTCTTCTGTTATAACATGTATTAATACAATGGATTACATAATAAACCACAGTATCGTAGCCAGAGTTTGTGGCGTTTGGGGGGATCCAACGTATACAGCACAATACAATCCTAGTTTATGCCTTGTCGTAAATAGCCACTTACCCAAAAAGCACCCTTAATAATGATTCTGATATAATTATATATCCAATCTGATTAAAATACAGATCTATATTTCGTTTCGTTTTTTTTATACTTTCGATGGCCTACACTACATGAAGATCTGACACGTTAAAGCTATAGGTCACGCCAGGGGTCAAAAGACCGACTTATGACCCTATAATGTCAGACATTTGATTAACCAATTAGCATTGATGTTACTAGTGGATTACCCACAGTTCCGTGCAGAACACGCCTAAAGCTCGCCGTAACAGACCGTGTCATTGGCTTATCCCTGACACCATTCAGAACACGTCAATAATAACAACTCTTCCAGATCCTATTGTAGTAAAGACAAGTAAAACGAAATTTTGAACTATAAAAACGAAACGAAATAGGATCTGTGTTTTAACCAGACACAATCACAAAAAGAAGATTGTTTTGATTTTTTTTTAATTGTCAGTGTCTTTATAGTCAAATTTTATGGACATCAGTCAAACATTTGGTTAATAATAATTCAAACATTAAGCTATAGATATAGACCCAGTCGCTTGTATTTTTGACAAATTGTGCAACATTCTTAGCCACATCTACCATTTATAAGCAGCGACTCCTGACTGCCTATTTTAATAATTGTCAACGCCATATAGAAACCCATATTTATGAATACGCTTTGTAATGTGTGGAATCTGTTCTGTCCAGTGTAGGCATCCTGATTTATAAAATTTAGAGTAATAATTTTTGATCACATTGGAGGATTTTTCTATGCAGTTTGATGTATGTATATGGTAATGTATGTTTGTATGTGTTGAAACACAAATTTTTTATGAAATAAACTAGGATGCAAATTGTACTATGGGTGTATGTAATAACCCAAAAAACATTGTACGGTAGGATAAACATGAAGCTACATTGATTGCGTATATACGTACATAAGTTAAAAGTTGTAATTAAAGTTAATATAAAACAACTTACTTCAATGTTTGAACGTGTGCACCACGTTCTATAAATCAACTTACACCTTTCTGTTTTAAGAAGTCCGTTCTGTGTATATGTATCTTTGGACTAGCCATTGTTGTCCAGACCATCACTGTTTGTGTACTGTAAAATCAGTTATCTTCGTTACCAAGGATGATACGCATGAATATGCAAAATATACGTTTACACACATGAGTTGTCCTTTACTGTGTAACTAGGAGGTGGATGGCCGAATCATAAAGTCTATCATTGAGTCAACTGGCGTGGTTTCGATTCCTTGTTGTACGTAACAAGGAGTAGGGTCGCCTGTCCAACCTCGTGGGGTTTCTCAGGGTCCTCCGGTTTCCTCCCACGGCTAATGACCCCTACGCTCAAGCTAATTATTGAAATAAAATTGAACCATTTTAGTACCGAAATGACCTAGTTAGTCTCGAGTGGATGTTAATCCTTATTTCTTTCTCTATCTTTCGCTCGCTCCCTCCAGTACCACTGGCAAGGGGAAACCACTATTATGAACTTTCTCGCTTAACACAGGGATCGAACATGGAACCTCCATGTTATCCCGCTAACGTCTTACTAATTGAGCCTCCGCGGATTACAAATAGTGTTAATGGGCTAAAGAACACAACTAAAAGCAAAATGCAAAAGACGCCAGAATTACCACGATGAGACAATCTTCCAGATCGATAAAGATGGCTGTAGAAGGGAGATGTAAATGTCCTCATAACACCCGGTGCTGAACGATGGTTGTAAGAGGGAGATGTACATGTCTTCATAATACCCGGCTGGTGACGAGAGGTAAGACGTTAAATCCCAGTTCAATTTCAAGTTTTTTAATGTTTGATCGACATATTTAATAGTTTATAAGATGTAAATTATCATTTGAACAAATTTTCAATTCAAATTGCAGACATTCTGAACTTTGATGAAAACAAAAGGAACCGCGAAGAATAAAGCAAATTGATAATACATTAGTAAAACAAAGTTGAACTCACAGCTGTTACGCCAAAGAAGCAACAGTTTGGAAATAAAATAAAATGAAGTTAAACTTCCTACGTTTCTGCTCATCCGAGCTGGTGCACTGCAGTGTGCCGTGAGGACAAATGTGCCTGGGCAGCGGCGCTACGGCACGTTTCAAGATGCTGTTTCTGGTCCGGTCCTGTCCTCTGCCCTGCACCTGACAGTCGAACTGGTGTTTTCCGAGAAAGCTGGTCCGGATTTTCAGTCAAGTCTGCTGATGTCAATTATTAGAAAACACTTTGATGGTTTCCAAAAATGTATGGTTAGCTCATCCCCATTAAAACATCAAGGAAGGTGATGTTTTGCTGACATTTGAAATATGTGCAATATTTAAGGTCGTTTCTCTTGTATATAAAAATATTACAACACGTGTTTTTCAAGTACACGATGCACAGGTAACGGTCAACCGAATGGTGAAATCCTTTCTTGTTATATGGAGTAGTTTCCCTTTGATAAAACCTTTGTCTCTTCCTAAAGCAATATTTTCACGTGTCAAGGACACTTTTATTATCTCAAACACAGTTAGATTAGCACGCGGACACACCAGGAAACTAGCCAGGCAGCGTACCCAGGCGTTAAGACGGCCCTATCTTGAAGTCGGCTACCCAATCCTTTGCAAGGGTGTTGGGGGACATTGACATGCCCCAGGTATTCTAGACGGGAGCGGTCGGGTCTCCAAGCCTCTCTAGTACTATTATAGATAGGGTTTGATGGTTGTCAAGGCTCTATCCGTTCCCTGTTTATGGACGAACGGTAGGAGAGTTTTAAAAGTTCATCCTTTGCGTCCAGTATAGTGAACGTCTTCCAGAGCGCAATTAAATAAAACGAATAGAACAAACTCGGAAAAGGAGTGCGCCAGCTTCAAAGCCAAAAAGGTGTGTGTGTGTGGGGGGGGGGGGGGGATGGTTAGCTTGGCGTGCTGTATCATAAGGTCTGTCATTGAGTCAACTGGCGTGATTTCGATTTTCTCCGAGTTCTCCAGTTTCCTCCCACTGCTAAAGACCCCTACGCACAAGCGAATTATTGAAATAAAATTAAACCATGTGTTAGTCCCGAAATGACCTAGTTTTTGTCGAGTGGACATTAAACCCCATTTCCCTCTTTTTCTTTCTAAGCAAATAATATTACCATTCTAACTAACACAGAAACATGGCAAAGTCATAAACATGGGGAATACTGTTCGCATACATGCCTCCACGTCCCGTGTATAATTAGAATTCGAGGAAAAGCAGGAGGACACGCCGATTACAAGGTACTTTTTAAAAAATATGCAAATCTTCTAAATTATTAGAATATCATTTATGTACAGCAAAAGGTTAGTTTTTTTTTAAGTAATACAGAATTAGATAGATTAACAGAACAAAACCAATGATTGCTACCCATAAAAATTGTGTTCTATTAATGTGTTTCCCAATCGCTAAATGCCACTTAAAGATTAGAATTACATAGCACTAGATAGATATATATATATATATATTTAGTTTTATTTTACTTCACACATCGTCTATAATAGCACTTACACAAGGTTATCACATATATCACAGGTGAATATTATGAGCAATATTCTGGTTTTGCTTTTACTATGTCTGCGTTTCTCAAATTCCCAGACATTAGTTAAACAGAAATTATTAATTAGACATTAATTAACTTTATCCAGAGCATAATCAACTCTTGATGTCATCGCTAGCCTGTTATATTTATTGGATTAGGTTCCGATTTGCTGTTAGACTTCCATTCATAATTTAATCATGAAATAGATAATCATGACCATGTTTTTTATCGTACCGACTTTAGTAATGATGATCGAGGTAAGGCCGAAAATTCAATCGCTAAAATTTCGGTTCAGAGTGGATCAATTTGACTGACATTTTCAGCAAATTGCCTTTACATTATCTAGTTTTTAACTATTATAGTGGGAACTGCCAGCCATTTATCTGATCTCCCATAATGTATCTTGAAAGATGAACATAAAAGTGAATTTTCCGTTGTAGATATATCTGCGAATAACTTGTGTGCAATAATTCATTAATTTAATAAACTATACTAAAAAGCACATATAACATGACACTGCCGATAGGTTTCATCGCCGGCAGATGTCCGAAAGCAGTTGTCATGCCGACAATTGTTACGCCCGCAATCGTCGTAGACCCCTTTTTTGTATTAAATTGCTACACTAGCGTTTGTTTTTATAGTTCAATCTGTTAACCTATATGTGTACATGTTGTTCCTATGACCCTTCGTGATTACATATCTATGTATATTCAAGTAATCACCCACGCAGTTGGTTGGGTTGTATGAAATAGTAGACACCTTCAAGAGTCTAGTTTAAAGGCTGTGTTTAACGCCGTGGTCCCGACTACAAATTGGCAGTGCTAAAAAGTACCCCTTGGCAGTTTGTCGAATAGGCGAAACACCACCCTTCGAGCAAATTATCCCTTCCTTCGTATTCATACTGCAGAAAAGGGGGGGGGGGATCTGAGCATGACACAATAAGTTCTGTCTCAACGGAATACTTTTCCACAAATTGCCTCTGCCTTGGATTGATTTTATAGCAACTACTTCCGGTTACCAACCAGTTTATAAGCAAGTGAAAATTATGATATATAATGCCGTAAGCCAATTAGATTCTGCAGTCCAGAAGGGTGTTGGTCTGAACACGACACAATAAGGACTGTTTCAACGGAATTCCTTTCCACAAATGACCTCTACCTTTGATTGATTTTATAACAACTACTCCCGGTTACCCCAGTTTATTAGCAAGTGAAAATTGTTATATATTATGCTGTATCCCAATTATATTCTACAGTCCAGAGGGGTTTTGGTCTGAACACAACACAATATAAGTTATGTTTCAACGGAAGACCTTTCCACAAAAGACCTCTACCTTGGTTTGAATATAAAGCTACTGCTTCCGGTCACCCCAACCGTAACCAGTTTATAAGCAAGTGAAAATTGTTATATACTATGCTGTATACCAATTAGATTCTGCAGTCCAGAAGAATCCGCGGTGTGCTCATCGTGATAGTTATCAGGTGTTGCTGTCTTTAATAAAATTTAAATTTGTCCAGTGTTTGGGATCAGGGGGTGTCGGATTCTGTGTTCTGTAACTTAACAATTCCTCCATACAAGAATAGGCTATGGGATCTTTTCGTAAATCGAATTTGTTTGTTCCAAAATGACCCTTGCGTTTCAGTAAAGGCAAATCACCGTAGCCGAAAACACAGATACCTCTGACGTATTCTCCATAGCAACGATCAAATGACTGGCGCCAGTTAATATGGCGTGTGACGTACATCTTCTTATCAGGGTGACCTGAAATTTAAGAAAAAAAAAGGAGCAAATTAAAAGATGTAGTTTAAAAATTCTATTATAAAGACTACTAATTTCTAGACTAGCTTTCCATACTATTCAGAAGTTATCGGTTGTGTCCCTTTACACTAGCGTTGAGAAGTGGAATAAGTAATCACATATTGCCGGAACGTTTTAAATGTTTACATTTTATACAAGATAGATGGGTTTTAACAAAGTTAACACCGAGTCCTTTAACACACATATTCTAAAAGGTGAAATTAAAAGGCCTGCACGAATATTTAACTGCCAGTTTAAAAGTCCTACAGACATTTAATTACGAGGATTTTCGACAATAGACTATTGTACTTTTTTTTAACTAGTTACATGTATATAGCTGCCATATAATTCTTTATCGTCATTTCATCTAAAAAAAAAATACTTGAATTATTAAAAATCATAAAACATATACATTTTTTTATTTCATGTAAAAAAAATATTTTAAAAATAAAATAAAATAATTTTCATTTAAAACAAATATATATTGGAAATTAAAATCCTTTTATTTTTTAAATCTAAATAGAATGAAATATAAAATGAAATACAAAATAGCCACGTGGCCAGTACTGCCAAATCAGAGTTATCTCCCATAATGAGATTCAATAGCAAATAAGTAAACATAAACTACACAAACTACACCCCAAGTAAAATTGAATAATAAATACGGGTTCGTTTCATAGTCAGTAATTATAGAACTTGAATGGATCCATTTGCCACGTCTACCAGGCAATACGTAACACCGGGGGTAGCTTAAAATTCCGCTAGCAGCTTTAATATACCAATACATATAATTTGTTCATGGAAATTGCATCTTCGGTGGTAAGAAATCAGTAGCTCTCAGGTTCGATCTCGGTGTTGGCAAAATTTTCATCGGGATTTTTCAGCGTTTTGGAGGAACCAAGGGATAGCCAAGAAAAAGTCACTAATCGTTAGGACGATATAAAATGAAATGAAATGGGGTTTAACGTCCTACTGTTCTGCTCATAACCTGGGCTAATGAAGACGGGCATACGCCATACAGTGTGCTATGAGAGAAATTATGCCCTGGCAGCGGCGCTACGACCTGCTCTTATATTGAATTCCAACTGCAAAGGGATCTTTTGCGTGCACGCCAATGTGTACGACTAGACAGCTGTCCTTGTCAAGCCATCCATCCTGCATCACTGACAAGGGGAAGCCACGCCGGAAAATTTGGATGAACCTTCTCTGCCAATGCAGGGATCGAACACCCGACCTCCAGGCTAGCGAACCAGGGTCTTATCCACTTAGCCACGTGATCCCCGTTAGGATGAGATGAAACCGTATGAAACTTCCGAATAATATGTATAGTTCTATTGCACTTGGGATGTAGATTATAAAGTATGTTTATTTAATTGCTGTTGAATACTTTTATAGAAAATAAAAGTAAATATTTAATTTGCAATGATTTGAGTTAAAGTAACAGAAAGTTAAAGGACAATATTGGTGTCAGTCTTATTACATATCCGATAGAACTGGTTCATTCATTCCAAATATAATTTCAACACAGAGATCATTACTATGGGAGATGTGTAACAAGCACGTGAAGAAACGGGAAGTGACGCCAAACATGACAAACACGAGTTATCCTTCTATATAACTGACTGAGTAACGAGCGATAACAGACAAACGATCGAATTTCATTTCACTGATAATTCCGTTGAAGATAAAAAGTTATGATATTGGACGGCGAGAGGGCATCTCACAATTCAACAAGAGCATCGCTAACGCTGCAATATACGTCCACATTCCAGCTTTGATTGATATGGTACTTTTTAAAATGAAGAGAATGAAATATGAAATGGCTGTAATATGATCAGAGGCAAAGCGTCGGGTTTGTTTTGCCAAATTTAGACAAAATACTAACAAAATAGTGGATGTGACACTGCCCCAGGAGGTCGGGGCAAGCAACAAAATAAATAGCTGCTGTCTTCATTGTATAAGGAATAAATATGCAAAGTTCTATGATGATCCATTCAGAATTGCAGTCTGTAGACGATAAATACAAAAAAAGGGCGTGGCTCTGCCCGTGGGGGTCGGATATGGAAACAACATAAATAGGTACCATCCTGTTATTGAAATGATAACATCCATAGTTGCTGTCCTTATGGTATAAGGAATAAGTATTACCAAGTTCCAAGATAATCCATTCAGAATTGTGGCCTTTGGGCGCTAAAGGCAAAAATTGGGCGTGGCTCTGCCCCTGGGGGTCGGGACATTCACAAAAATCAATAGTTGATGCCCTTAGTCTATAAGGAATACATATGCCAAGTACCAAGTTGATCCATTCAGAAATCTGGCCTGTAAACGATAAACATAAAAATTGGGCGTGGCTCTGCCCCTGGGGGTCGGGACATGCAGTTGTCGTCCTTAGGCTATAAGGAATACATATCCCAAGTTCAAAGACAATCCATTAAGAATCATGGCCTGTAGGCAACTCACAGAGACACAAAGAAAAAATGGGCTTTGCTCTGCCCCTGGGAGTTGGACAATCACCAAAAAACAACAGGGTATGCAAAGTTTCAAAAGGATCTGTTAAGAATTGCGGCCTGTAGGCGACACAAAAGGCACACAAATTTTGGCCCTGGCTCTGTCCCAGGGGGGCGGGCATGCACCAAAAATAATAGAGGTCAGCCTTAGGGTATAAGGAATAAGTATAAAAAAGTTTTCAAGATGATCGATTAAGCATTGCAGGCTGTAAGTGACATACAGACACACAAAAAGAAAATGGGCGTGGCTCTGTCCCTGGGGGGTGGGCATTCACCATAAACAATAGGGATGTTCCTTAGGATAGAAGGAGTAAGTATGCGAAGTTTCAAGGTGATACATTAAGAAATGCGGTCGGTAGATGACAAACAATGAATACAAGAAATGGGCGTGGCTCTGCCACTGGGGGTCGGGCATGCACCAAAAACAATAGGGATCTTCCTTGGGGTATAAGGAATAAGTATACCAAGTTTGAAGAAAATCCAGTAAGAATTGCGCCCTGTAGGCGACACAAAGACACACGAAAAGAAAATGGGAAATGGGCGTGGCTCTGCCCCTGGGGGTTGGGCATGTACCCCAAACGATAGGGATGTTCCTTAGGGTACAAAGAATGTGTATGCAAGATTATAAGTTAAGAAATGTGGCCTGTAGACGACAAACAAACAAATACTAGAAATGGGCGTGGCTCTGCCCCTGGGGGTCGGGCATGCACCAAAAACAATAGGGATCTTCCTTGGGGTATAAGGAATAAGTATACCAAGTTTGAAGAAAATCCAGTAAGAATTGCGCCCTGTAGGCGACACAAAGACACACGAAAAGAAAATGGGAAATGGGCGTGGCTCTGCCCCTGGGGGTTGGGCATGTACCCCAAACGATAGGGATGTTCCTTAGGGTACAAAGAATGTGTATGCAAGATTATAAGTTAAGAAATGTGGCCTGTAGACGACAAACAAACAAATACTAGAAATGGGCGTGGCTCTGCCCCTGGGGGTCGGGCATGCACCAAAAACAATAGGGATCTTCCTTGGGGTATAAGGAATAAGTATACCAAGTTTGAAGAAAATCCAGTAAGAATTGCGCCCTGTAGGCGACACAAAGACACACGAAAAGAAAATGGGCGTGGCTCTGCCCCTGGGGGTTGGGCATGCACCCCAAACGATAGGGATGTTCCTTAGGGTACAAAGAATGTGTATGCAAAGTTTCAAGATTATTAGTTAAGAAATGTGGCCTGTAGACGACAAACAAACAAATACTAGAAATGGGCGTGGCTCTGCCCCGGGGGGTCGGGCATGCACCAAAAACAATAGGGATCTTCCTTGGGGTATAAGGAATAAGTATACCAAGTTTGAAGAAAATCCATGAAGAATTGCGCCCTGTAGGCGAACCACAGACACACACACACACACACATACATACATACACACACACACACACACACACAGACAGGGGCGACGGCATAATACGTTCACATTATGAATGTGGACGTATAAAAATAGAATTGTCTGTCACTAGATAAGGGAAATCGAGAAAAATAGAAAAAATCCCGTACATTCCCCTATTTTTATTCATTCTGTTCTAATGAAAATATGGTAATGCACGGACTTTTTCTAATTTGTTCGTTATCTTTTATCTGCTGACAGCCAATTCTTTTTTTTGAAGTGTCAGATATCCTCTCACCGTCTCATATAATAACTGTTCATCTTCAACTGAATTATAAGTCAAATGAAATTCGATCGCGTGTCTGTTATCGATCGTTACTTTAGTCAGTTATATAGAAGGATAACTCGTGTTTGTCATGTTTGTCGTCACTTCCCGTTTCTTCACGTGCTTGTTACACATCTCCCGTAGCAATGATTTCTGTGTTAAAGTTATATTTGGGATGTATTTAACCAGTTCTATCACATATTTTATAATGACTTACACCGATATTGTCCTTTAACTTCCCTGTTATGGGGGACCCCTGATTTGACAGTCCTGGGATTTTATATTTCATTTTACTTAGATTTAAAAAAATAAAACCTTTTTAATTTTCAATATATTTTTATTTCAAATCAAAATTTATTTTTTATTTTTAGTGATTTTTAAAAAATTAAAATATCTTTTAGATATACTATTCAAAAAAAGTAGGGGATATTTGATTTTGGGGGCATAATACTAAAATATGCAAATGACTACGAAAAAAGTCTCTATAGAACCTAACAGAAGAAACATTTCCAGTTACATGTGACGCCCAAACGCACCAATAGCTACCGCATGGAATGCAGGTGATGCTTGGGATCATCATGGGGGTCCAACCCAAGATTTGCACGACTCTGACTTTGAATGTTACAGTCATTGTGGCATTGAATTCCAGGGTGGAAACATCAGTTTAATTGTTTTAGTGACCAGAAAACAAATTGTGATATGCGTCGGCTTACCCAAAATGAAAGGTTACGTGCCCTTGGCATGCTACAGATCGG